GTCAACGGAAATTTCCATTTCCAGGAGATTCCATCGCCTTGTATTAATTGCTGGGTAAACTTCAGTAACGCTTGATTACAGAGCATCACTTTCTATTGGGAGGCATGATTGAAAGAGCATAAAACTGGTAGACCTTCACAGCCTGTATGGGTCAGTTAAGGCCTCAGCATCGGCCAAAAGGAGTGAACAACTTACAGATTCCAAGTGTTCAGGTCCAGAGGCAAGCGTGCTCCATCCTGTTTATTTATTTTTCTACTAGAAGAGCCATTGTGTTTTGGCCTCTGCCCCTTTCATAACACACCACAAAGAGGAGGGCAGAACCCGCGTGCTGTCTAGACTTTCACCAGTTGACCCTGCTTTATTTCCCGTCCTTATAAAGTCTTTCATTTCCGCTACAATCATTTACCACTCCCTTTCAAGGCAGCTTCTTCATTTCTATCCCAATTTAAAAAATATGTAAGACACATATGTAGTCATATATAGGAATTTGATATCCAATAGCAAGAAAATACAGAACTGACCAAAAAGAAACCCACATCTGACTATACAGGAGGGGAAAAAAGAAGAACTCTTGTTTAACATCCTATTAAAGAAGAAAATAGAAAAAAACAAGTGCTATCCTCTTTCTGAAGTGACTTTATCCTTTGCAAATAATGCTATTCAATATGTGGTGATACACATGTTAATGACGGAAGAAGGAGAGGTCATGCTTTCCCAATAACCTACTACACCTAAAATACTTAGAAGTTAGAAGAAGAAAATATGGTTCTCATTTATTAAGTTGCCTACATATAGAATATAATTATGAATGAGTTTTAAAGAAACAAATATAATAACAGTACAGTTGATTGAAACTAAATTAATAATCCCCTGTCAAAAAAATAAATAAAAACTAAATTAATCCTCTGTCTCCTCAAAAGGCATAATATAACAAAAACAAGATTGGCCTACAACCTAAGTCTCATTCAGTTTTACCCACTAGCCTGCCCTAAATGAAAATTATACCACCTCTCAGATCTGTTCAAAGGCATCGCAACAGAGATAGTGATGAACCTTCAAGCAGATTTCTGGATTTGAGATTATACATTTGAGTGGTACTTGAATGCTTTCAATTCTGCTCTTGTACATCACAATGTTTGGAAGAAGATTTAGTTAATCTATGTGCTGCCCAAGGCCTGTAGGCTCCCAATATCTGCTATATTAATTGGTTGAGAACAGATCTGGGCAAATTCAGCTCTGTGAAATTCAACATTTGAGTCCAGGAAGTCCTTATTATGTGAATAGGCATTATACCCATTGTGTTAGTTGGCTTGTATTACTGTGACACAATAATAAGTAAGAGAATAAACTTAAAAGGAACAGTTTATTTTAGCTCTCAGTTTCAGAGGTTTAAGTTTACTGTCACTTGGCCCTGTTGCTGGGTGGCACACTACATAATGGAAGGCGCATATGGTGAACAAGGCCTGTTTATGTCACGGCAACCAGGAAGGAGGGGGAGGGGAGAGGGAGGGAGAAGGAGAAAGAAAAAGGAGGAGGAGGAAGAAGGGAGGGAGGAGGGTAGAGTCCCAATGTCACCTGCTCAAGAGCACACTCCCACTGACCTGACTTCCTACCATTAGGACCCACCTCCCAGTAACACCACAGGCTAAGGAACAAGACTTTAACTCAGTGGCCCTCAGGGGACATTCAAGATCCAAACAGTAGAACCACCCATCCTACAACTGCATGGTGGCTTATGGAAGCCAAGTCATCACAGTATAAGAGTATTCTCAAAGGGGCTCATTGATCTCTTTTAATGCTAGTCACCATCATTCCCACTCCACAACACTAGCCTGTATCTCTACGTATCACATCCTATCAACTTTGGTTGATGGCGTGGCTGTTGTAGACATTAGATCAAACAATTTAAATGTGATGTGATATATCACCAAGATTTCAAAAGGTTGACGAAAGTGATGTTAGAAAGTTTCTTGGATCTTCCCTGCCTCATCTCTCTCCTCCCTCCACCATAGGAACTAACAGAAAAGGATTAATATGAGTAAATTAGTGAGTAGGGAATCAGCAAAAGTGCTGATGTGATAGACATAGCAAAAAAAGGAAATATTTGAATTAAAAAGAACTAAAAGAAGTCCTTAGGAAAAATGACAAAATCTCTAATGCAAAAATTATCCCTGTTATGATATAATTATAAAAGTCATACATAAATTTAAATTTCTGTATTTATGTCATATGATTTAACTAGAAAAATTAGGCCCAAAAAGTGATTAGCATTGCATTCAGGTGTTTATTTTCATAAAATGCTAAACATAGAAAAATAATGTGCATTTATTTAAATGTAAGAATAAACATGTTATCATCATGAACGTTAGTTGCCCTTTGAACATTAAACCCAATCACACTTCTTTTATTTTTAAAATATTGTAGGTGGATTAATTTTCAAGAACTTTTAAAACTGAGAAATGAGAATATATTTAAATTTCCCCTGGAAAATGAAAAACCATTCAGTGTTCCAGCCACGGTCCCTGCCCCAGAGAAACTTCTAGAATCCTAACAGGCTGTAGCACCTATCAAGCAAGTCACAGGTAAGTTCTCTGACATCAGTAGGCTTCGTGTGAATCCTGTACACACATATCCATGGTCAATCAATTTAGCACTGATAGGAGGCTTTCATTCCTTATTGTAAAGTAGGCATTTCCTGTGACTAAAAGGAAGAGCTTAGAACTCTTAATTCATTCTCCCAGGACTAATCAAAGACCATGCATCAAACAAAAAACAAAGCCTCTAAGTGCTAAATGCTAGGCCACAAGCTTCAAGAGGCTCAGGATGCTTAGTGGAAGAGGTCAACTTAGATACTCTGAGGCATAGGAATCCCAAGAGAATCCTGCCCCAAATCAGTCTTACAAAGACAGAGAAACATTATCTCTCAACAACAGCAAAGTTTCTGGAGCTTTATTGAAAAAGCACTGCTCTCTCTATCATAAGATAGGAAGTCCTCGATGGGAAACTGTTTCATTTTACCGCTTTCCTTCTGAGGAGGTTGTCTCATACAATATCAGGAGCCTAGATGTTTTGGACACGGACAGGTCAAGCTTCAAATCTTACCTTGGAATTTATAAGCTGTGTGACTTGGACAAGTTCCCTATCCCTTCAAAGCCCGAATTTCAATCTCTGTTATACAGAAATAGTAAAGGCTGCCTCTGAAGTTGCCAAAAGACTACAAATAAAGCAATGCCCCCAAAATGCCCAATCGTGCAGTTTTCGTAGTAGGCACACAGTAAATAAAATTAAATTTAAAAGTTCCCATCACTTCCTCTATGCCAAAGAAAGACAATGGGGAAGTATAACTCTTCTGGCACCTGCTGGGAAAGGAGGAACTGAAAAGGGATAAAGGGAGAGTAAGAGGAAATGAAGAGGGTGACACAACTAACAGCACCTCCCCCACTCTTCCACTTCACCCAAGGCCGGCTTTAAAGTCACATGGCTATGAGGGATAGATAGATGCGTGCTAAACAGAAAGTACAAATTCAGTGCATCTGACCCAAACACTGAGCAAAGCTGCCCAGAGCAGATAATATAGAATCACCCCGATCTAATCAGAGACCTCAGATTTGGTCACTTCCAGGTGAGAGGTTCTGCTATCATGAAGAGGAGGCCTACTCTGGCCCCTGTTTACAGTTGTTAATGGTTCTCTGTTATAGTCAAATATGATTTTCCTATGAATGAGTTATTTTGTTTTCCTCTGAGGTGGTATATGAAAGGAGCTTTCTGCTAGCACCTTGAGAAAGAGATACTTGACCCAAAACCAGTCCATGTTCATATTGGTCTTCATTCTCAAGGTCTGAGCACCTTCGCATACAATCAGCCAGCAAATATTTATTAAGACTGAAAATATTTGCTGTGTCAAGCACTATGGGTGAAAGAGAAGAGGTTGGGTATGTGCAGTCCCCTCTCAAGGAACTTGCAACCAGCCAAGCTGCACAAGACCTACCTGTATGAAAATACCAAACCAAGGGGAAAAAAACAAAACTAATCTGTGCTTAAGGGATGGTATTCAAGGATGCCCCCTGCCTCAGAGAGTTGTCCTGAAGCTCAGATACAAGGACACACAGGAAGCGCCCAGCATGGACACTTGTGCTTCAGGAACTAACGCTCCCCTCCCACTAGAGAGGAGCAAGGTCAAAGATGCAATAGCAGGGAGTCACAAGGAGGTGATCAACTGCAAATGCCACTGAGAGATTCTGACAAAAAGAAAGTCAGTACTGACCTTTTAGAAAACTGTTTCTCAAGTGTGATGAAGATCAAAGCCATTTAATTGCAAAGAGTTAGAAAAACACCTCTGGTGAGTGATAAGCACACAAGCGAGAGGCAGGGAGGGAGGAGGAAGAGTGGAAAACATAAATTCTAGTGAAGGTCATTTTGTTTATTTTTAAAGTCTCATCTTAAATTGCTGGTTTCTCTACAAAGCAGGGTGGGAGTGGGGAAGGAATTAGACTATTCTAGAAACTACCACAGCTCTAAGCTGAAATCAACAATGTCACAGGTATTCTTACGTCTCCAAGGAACTCAATTATAGGTGGAATCAATTCTGCCTTTCCTTTTAAATCAAACAATCCTAAATAAGCAAATAAATAAATAAAATAACTTCCATGGGCTTTCTAAAAACAAATAGCTTTGTTTATTTCATCACAATTCTGTAAAACAAAAGAGTGGGTGTTCAATTTCATCCTAAAGAGCTCAGCAACTTTTGCCTAAATTCTTGCTGATCCAAATTGAAAGTCTTAAGAGTTTAGACTTCAAATCAGTGAACTTTGACTGGTTTGTTCTAACCCTCAGATCACTTAGTAAACATTTTAGAAAGCATTAAAATAAATGTTCATGATACGCTGTTGCCCTCAGGAGATTTTAACGCAACAGAGACAACAGAAAATGTAGCAATAGCACATATAAAGGCCACTGTGACCAATGCAATAAAGGGCCAAAGATACTCACTAATGAAGAAAAGAGAAAGTCCCTCTGCACTGAGAGGGTTTAGAAGTTTCCTGGAGGAAAAATGGATTGAAGTTGGGCTTTGAAGAAATCATAAGCTTTCCCAGAGCAAGACTCGTGAGAGCCGCAGGCACTAGAGGCGGGTGCTATTGCTTCCGAATCCAGGCAGGAGGAGCTAATGAGAAAAATCCAGAGGAAAGAGGTCAGCGCCATACAAGGAACCACGACCACCCAGCGAGGCAGCCAGTTATCTACTGTACCAAAACGGACTTCACTAACTCGAGCGCCCGACTGGAAGATGTGTACCCTGGGCCCTTCTGTCTAATTCGTTATCAGGTTATTTCTCATGCTATGTTTCCTAACTTCAGTATTACAGCCCAAGGGCCCATCTTTTTCCCATCGGACTCATACTTCAGAAAGAGGAAATAACTCTCCAGTGGTGGGGATTTCTTAGTAGGGTTTTAAAGAAAGATGTTCGGGGTGGCTGACTCAGTCGAAAAGTTTCCTTGTTCTCTTGCTGTTTGTCAGATACTGCTGTTGAGCAACCCTGGTGAGTGTCGGTAACATGCAGCCTCATCTGATTTATCTTCCGTTACTCACTCAAACTCAGCCTTTTGCCTCTTTTCTCCTCTGGCTCATTTCGAGTTTCACAACCTCTTACCTTTAATTGCTGAATAAGTGTAAACCATTTGTGCCTCTAGCCTCATCTACCATAATCTCCAGAAAATATCAGGTGGCCCGGTCAGCTTCCATAGCTTGCTTTGCCACTGTTTCATTTAAAAATCACCTTGCCATTTTTTCATAGATGTGCATTCAAAGCAATAGATTTCTGAGGCTGTATTTTTCAGCAAGTCCCTCCCTTTGTGAAATGTGGATGACTCAAGTAAACATTCTTAAAAACTTCACCAAGTTCAGAGTGCCAGTCTCTTCCAGAAACCCATTAAAAATTTTCACTCCAATAAACCACAGAGGCAAGCACAGGTGATGGGCTATTTGGGCCTAATGGAATCCTCAAACTGACATTCAGCCACTCAGATAGAGGAAATTAGCTCTGCAGATCAAAAGCTTTTAGTGTCCCAGAGGCAGGGCCACCTCGCTTGCTCCTCCGCCTGGCCAGTGCAGGCTCAGCCAGTGCAGGAAAGGAGCCTTTATATTTCACTCTAATCAACCTGACTTCTCTCTCTTTTTTCCTGTGTTTGCAATACATAATAATTGCAATCATCTTGATGAGTTGGTACATTTCATATCTTGATCATCTTACTCCCACCCCCCTAATCTTCCATCTTCACGAAATCTGCTTCTCTGTTTCCTTCCATTTATCTTTTACTTTTCTCTTTAAATTATTTAGATAGGAGTTTCTCGTAAAAAGACATGCAATATTTAGTCTTCTGTCAGATTCTGACTTCTCTTAGATTATCCAAGAAAACTCTCCCTTTTCTCTTTTAGTCTATCCTCTCTGCATTTATCTCAATACAAATAAAACTGGTCTGGCTCTTGACAGAGGGTTCTAGAGCACAATTCTAGAACTGATTATTGAATAAATGCAGTTTGAGTTTAGTGAAAAATATGACTATGCTAAAAATAGCTAAATAAAACAGGTTTTAAGAAGCAAAAACAAAGTAGTGTGTTGAGACTTTCAACAGTCTATAACTTTTATAGCTCCTGCCATTAGCTGTGTATGGACTCAAGTTCTCTGGAGCATCAAGCATTTTTAAAACATCCGTTTGAGCTAGGAAGGACTGTCAGCACATTATAACATTTCTTGGACCTGCCTCTATTTCTCTGGATATACTTCCCACTCTGCCTATTATCTTTCTGTTAAATATCTTCTCCTGCCCACAAACACTGAAAAGGGTCAAATGGTGGTAAGTCACTTGTTGGTAGTCAAAATACAAAGGAAGCACCTGCTGTCTGTTTCCTGTCCAAGGCCATCTTCCGATCCAAGTCTGTTGTTATATCCACAAATCCTTCAATATCTCCTGAGGCTTAGTTGGGGCTCAGTGAATATTTGCTGAATGTTGACTGAATTAACAAATAAAAAGCTTTCTTTGTTCACAAAATACTCTCTCAACCACTTACCTTGCCCCAAGTCAGCCTGGTCCTAACCACTGCTCTGTGTTATCTCTTAATCCCTGCCACTAATGTCCCAAGGCTTCCCCAAGGGTTTCTAAACTTTTCGTCATAGCCTGGATGTGGTCCACGGTCACCACCCAGACTAGCAACTTCTATGACTATTTCAGAACCAGACTGTTTATTAAAATGGCTTTAGGACTTGCTTTTGTGGCTATGATTCTCATAGCAAACTTCAAGAGCTACAGGAGTAGAAGACCATGTAGAGAATGATAATATAAAAGAGTGACAGTTTGGGGACAGGGGGTACTAAATGTGATACCCAGCCTTCAAGCTGTGTCTCTTAGCACTCATGGCCTTGTACAATGCCCTCTTCTTGAATGTGGGCTTGACTTGGTGCTCATTGCTAATAAACTGAATACAGCAGACTTTCAAGATGTCACACTCAACTTTAGTTACAAAGGTCCACACCCTCTCCCTTCCTCAGACCACCTGTTTAAGGGAAACAGATGTCTTATGGAGCTGCCTCACTGAGGTAGGTCTCCATTGGAGGTCAATGAGAAGCTGAGACTGCCCACAACCACCTGTGAGCTTAGAAACAGCTTCACTTACTCCAGTCAAGCTGTGAAATGACTGCAGACCTGTTCTGCAGTTTGACTGCAACCTCCCAAGACACCTTGAAGCAAAATCTCCCAGATACAGGAGCCTATACTCCCGACCCACAGAAACTGCTAGATAATAGATATTTATTGCTTTAAACTGTCAGATCTGTTAGTTGTTCCATAGCAATATGTAGCTGTAAGAATAGGTTAAGCTAGAGGTTGGCAAGCACTTCCTTCAAGGGCCAGTTAGTAAACATTTTTTGATTCTTCAGGGCATGTGGTGGCTGTTGTACTCTTCTGTCATTATAGCTCAAAAGCAGGCAGAGGAAATGCGCAAATGAGTGGACATGACTATGTTCTATGAAAACAATCAGCCCGCTCTTGGGATGCCATATGCCAACACTTCCTGAAAGCCAGTATATCTAAGTGTTTTGTTGTCCTACAGTTACCTTACCAAGAGGAAAAATAGCCACTTCAGATTATAGAGCTTCTTGTCCAGTGGGTAGAGGATGATACCCCTTCCACTATTACTCATAGCCTTCATACACAGTTTTATCCCCAGCCATTTATGGGTCTTTTGGATTTTTTTTTTTCTTTTTGAGACATGGTTTCATTATGTCCCCAAATTGCTCAGACTGGGCTCAAAGTTGCAATCTTCCTGCCTCGGCCTCTCAGAGTGCTGGGATTACAGGCAGGTGCCCCCATGCTTGCCTAATCACTATTAATTTTTAATTAACATCAAAAAGTGAAGTTGAACAAGCCAGGCGCGGTGGCTCACGCCTGTAATCCCAGCACTCGAGAGGCTGAGGCAGGAGGATCGCTGTGAGTTTGAGACCAGCCTGGGCTACACAGTGAGTTCCAGGTCAGTCTCAAATACATAGTGAGACCCTGTCTCAAAAAAAAAAAAAAAACAAAGGTGAAGTTGATGTGCTGAGGAAAGGAAGCAAAAATGTAGGAAAAGTGCCTTCCAGGGTTGAACAAGAGATGAAAATCTTGACTTTTTTATTCTAAAATAGTTCAGGAAACGAACAAAGAGAAATTGAATAAGTAGACCAGATGTCTGGTTCTATACACCCGAAGTGGCCACTGTACACACTGATGGTAGGAAATGCTTTAGATACAACTAAATAGGAGCAGGAATCTATGAAAATAGGAACAGGAATCCAAGAACTTTAGAGGCTCTAGCCCAACTGTCTGGCATTAATGGGAAAACCCCTGAGGCATTTCAGATTAAAAAAAAAAAAAGACACAAAACTGATAGCAAACATTTGTTAGACAAGCCTGAAAAAAGGTTATGGAGGAGGTGGATATTTAGCTCAGTGGTTCCTCTGCCTGACTTGCAAGCACAAGGTCCCAAGTTCAATCCCCAGTACCAAAAAAAAAAAAGAAAGATCATGGACTCTTGTGGATGTAGCCCAGGCTAGTCTCGTACTCACAGCGATCCTCCTGCCTCAGCCTCCCAAGTGCTGGGATTACAGGTGTGTGCCACCACACTTGGCTAGAGGTTTTTGAAGTTCTAGGTGACCACGAGACCAGCAGAGTCCAGTACTAAGAGCTGGGTCCCCATGATCGCAGGCTATGGCAAGGGCTAGATTAAGAAGCAAAGGACAGAGTAAACATCTGCTTCTTTTTCCTCTCTGAAAGGAATCTTACTACGTCTTATTTTCTTTTTCCCCAAATCATTGTAGGGCATGCTCAAAAGTCAGGCAGGATCAGCTACAACACTAACATATTTAACAGAGACCACCAAGCAAAGACAAAGGGACACAGATCCACAGCTAGAGCATCTGTGAATAAATCTACTTTCCCACAGTCCCAGGAAAATATGGGTCCTACTCTGCCCTGATTGCCCAGGAGCTATCCTTGGGAGAGCAGAGGCAGGGAGAAAATCTGGGAGATTTACGGTTTATCCAAACATACGTAACTGAGCAACCTCAACCCAACTCACAAAGGATTGAAATACTTACACTCCCTAAGTTTGCATTATTTTCCCTGTACGAAGGCTGAGGAGAAAGTGTGTTTCAGGTATTAGATTAGTTTTCTGCATAGCCAAAATAATTACTGCAAATAGACTGGCTTAAAATAATACCAATTCATTATCTTATAGTTCAATAAGTCAGAAATTCAACATGGATCTCACCGTGCTAAAATCATCAGTGCTGGTTTTTTTTGTTTGTTTTGTTTTTTTCTGGAGATCCTAAGGGAGCAAGCTTTGCTTTTCCCTGCAGCCATCAGTGCAGCATCTGATCATGCTCCAATGCCACATCTCTTTCTCTAACCCAGCCTCAAGACTCTCCACTTCTGAGGATCAATGTGATGTGACTGAGCCCACCCGGAGTATAGGGTAAGCCGTTCCCAGTTTCCAAGCATGAGGACGTGAATACCTCTGAGTACTCAGTCTACCACAACTATGACAAATAAAGAGGCTGCATTTCAGTTCACTTTGTGAATTCAATTCACTTGAGCAAATTTAAAACTGCAATGACAGTAACTAACATTTAAGTATAATTTATGTTCTTCACATTTTGCAATTTATTAGCCTTCTAAATATAGACCACATTTTACCTGAGCAGCTAATTCCTTTAACCTAACTAACCTTGAATTAAAATGCATAGGCCATGTCAACTTGAGGCAGCAACATCACCAGAGGAAAATTCAAGGACTTACTCAGGTGTACAACTAACAAAAGCACATTTCTGTGTAGAATTCCAACCAAAAGAGTTTGAAGTGAATGGAACCTGCAACAGATTAAAAAGACTCTTTAATGAAAGGACCCTACAACTCCTAGAGGTTAAGTATCATGACACATACCTATAATCCTAGCAACCTGGGAAGCTGAGACAGGACACAGTAGTTTCAAAGCCAGTGTGAGAAATTTGGCAATGTAACAAGACCTTGTCTCAAAATAAAAAAACATAAAGGGGGCCCTGGATTCAATCTCCAGTATCGAAATTTCTAAAATTTTAAAAAAAATTTTAAAAACCACCCTGGATCATTGGTTTACTTCTGTTAAACCTAACCAATATGCTCCATCATTAAATTAGAAGGCATTTTTAATTGCTTAAAGGCATTTGTCCTGAAAATTGTATTTGAAAGTCCTATCAAATTAACAACAAAATGATTTAAATTATTACACTATAAATAAACTAATAGCACAATTGTTATTAACATTCACAGTTAATAGTTGAGAATTCTGTGTTAATTTTGCTTTGTTGGAATGCTTGTGCTGGGGGAGTTTGTTTTTGGCTCTGTAGTTTTCATACGAAGACTATTCTCTAAATTGAAGCTGCATTGTGAGAATAATCATTGTCATTCAAGCCATGTCTTTTCACTAAAATCATTAGAAAAGTTATTCAATAATCAGCCCTTTGACTCAGTGAGAACACATCCATGCTGTGTAAGCTTACCTTAGCAGAAATTAATATATAAAAGTAGGGTTCAATCACAGGTAGACCAAGTCTAGAAAACGAGATTGCAGACATAAAGAGGAAAGCAACATACCCAACAGTGCATATAGCTAAAAATTCCTTTGAAGAATCATACTTTGGGGATTTACATTGGTGAGAGTTATCACTGATGTCCTAAACTTTGATACAATTGCACTTGTCTCTAGCCTTATAGCTGGGGAAAATAAGTCAATTCAATTAAAAATATTAACCTTAATGTAGTTGCATGAAGGCCTAAGTCCAAAGTCTTTTTGAACACTAAGGAGCATTTCTGTCCATGTTTTTCCAGAGCATTCATTCCAGGCAAACATCTACCTACTGTACAGAAACTCCTCACTCTACAGAAATGCTCTCAAAGGAAGAAAGAGGATTAAAACATTGCAGTTTTACTTTGTAGATAGGGAGGGGTGGAGGGGTTGAAGGGAGGGCAGGGGAATGGGGAAAAAATAAGAACCAAGATGAATTATGTAAAGGTGCAAATTTCTAGTGATGAATGTCATTATATTGTATACCTTAAACATACCAATAAAATTAATTATTTTTTTAATTACACATTTAAATTATTACCCATGTTTCTGCAGATTTTCATCTTCTCGTCCCTTCAGTCACTCGACGAGATGCAGAGAACAACACATTCACATCACTAGATAAAAATATCCACGTACGAGCAAGACAGACATTCTGTGGGCATTTGTTGTATATAAGACATTCTCAAGTGGCTTATCTACAATGGACACAATAAAAGAGAAAAGTAAATGGATATATTTTGAAGATATATGCCTAAGTGAAATAAATAAGTTACACATGTGTAAATACCGAATAGTTTCTCTGGTATGAAAAACTATAATAGTACATAAGATCCCAATGAGATAATTAACAATGTGAAATAGGGAGAAAAGGGCTAAAGGTGTAGGGAAAGTGGGAAGAAAAAAATATGAGAAAATGAAAAAATGGAAATAAAGTGTTTGTAAATGGGTAGGGGAGGAGGGGGTGAAGGGAGGGCAGAGACAAGGGGAAAAAATGAGAACCAACACCTGTCATGTAAAGGTACAAGATCCCAGTAATGAATGTAACTACCTAAAAGGTACCAATAAACTCAATTAAAACTAAAAAAAAAAAAAATAGAAAAATTAAAGAGAAAAGTTATCAAGAAATGCAAAATTGAATGCCATGGACACAAAGACCAAGAAGAAATGGTCCAACTAGACACATAAAGAGCAGCTCCATGCAAGGAGGCAGCATTAGAACTGAGTTATAGACTCAAGTCATTGTAGTGCTTTAAGAAAAGCACTTTACCAAAGTGACCAGGAGCACCGGGAAGAATTCTTGATTTTTTTCAATCACAAACAGCACGCAGATGTTCCTAGCTGTAGCAATCTGAAGCAGATGCAGATCTTAGAGCACAAGCCTTGGATTAAAAAAAGACAAGGACCAAGGGTTGAGGAGGCCAGGTCACCACACGGTCACTTACTGGTTTTATTACCTTAGCAAAATTGCTTAACCTCTCTGAGCCTCAGTTTAATCTTCTGTAAACATGGAAAGTAATGAAAGCAAATTGGCAGGATTTCATATTTGTGAGCAAGAAGCATAGATCTTGGTGCGTGTTATGTTTGAAATAAATATTACTTATTTTGTTATATTCCAATCATGGTTTAGTTTCTGTATAGCAAAGATGCCATAGTCCTAAGTGCTTCCTTATATGTAGATAAATTTTCTCTTTTAAGATTATTCTGCATCTACCATCTAAATTCTCTTTCTAAAATTAACTCTGGGATCTGGAGACTAGAATAATAGAAATCTCACATGACAGTTTTCCAGGAGCAAGCTACTGAAAAACTGCTAACTATAGCACATGCAAAGAGAAGGGGAATGGAAAATCATGGACATATAGGAATATTGTGCTTATACAAATCTAAGGGAATATAAAATTTTGAATGATAGAATTTCCTATAAAGTTTAATAAATACATATTTCAAAAAGAAATACTTTTGAAAATCATTAGAAATGACATTCCATCATCAGTCATTTGATTCAAAAAGAAATATTTTTGAAATGGTGGATTTGCAAAGTTCCTCACATTTTGGCCTGCGACTTCCAATTACACAGGAATTTCACTATCAGTCCTGACACTGGAGATGTATCATTATCTAAACAATCATTTCCATTTCAAAGAAATCCCAAGACTGTTTTGCTAACAATTGAGCCATAACAGCACTGTTCCCATGGTTACCAAGGGCTCTAATTTCAGTTCCTCAATATGCATTTTATCCTGCAAGATTGTACAATGATTCAGAATAGGCCACCCTGACTCCCACATGCTCTTCTTCCCATTGTTTTTCTCCCTGTTTCTCACACCCAGTCCCCACTGAAACTTCCTGTTTCTCTCACTTTTAAATTAAAGACTATGTGCCTAAACTCTATCATGATCATGTTTATAAATAATAAATTCCAGGCAAAGAAGCAAAGTTAAGGGGCAGGCTGTGAGCTGAGATTAGAAGAAATGCATCCTCATCACTCTCCATGGCCTTAAATTTAATCCCAGAATCATGGTGATAAGAGAAAGAGCAACATGAATCCTAGCCTTTGGGTCCATCAGATTTAGTAATCCCATTTTACTTTAATTTTGATTTCTTAATAATAAAGGAATGTGCGAGCTCACTGCAGTGGAAAATGTTTTCTGAAAACACTGGTGTCTTGCACCAGAGTCTATGGGATGAGCCACAGAGGAGTTCAACAAGCTTCTGAACTTACACGTCTGTGTGTATAAATGGGATTCCATGTGGCTGAGGGAATTCACTTTCACGGGAAGGAAGCCCATAGCCTTGATCATTCCCAGGTACTTCTGTACACCATAGATGGTTTAAGCAAAACACTTCTTTTGGCCAAATCTGTGACTTAGTAATATCTCAGAACAGTCAAGTTGCTAAGAAAAATGGCTTTGGTAGCATTAGTATTCCATCCTTAGTCATTGGTGGTGGTATTAACATTTGGCACACAGTTTTTGGAAAAGCGATAAAAAAATGTATAACAAGACTCATAAAGATGTTCTTCCTTTTGGATCCAGTCATTGCAATGCAAGGAATGTATTTTTAGGAACAAAGAAAAACCAAAAAGTAAAAAGGCGTTCATTTTCATAATATAAAAATAGGGAAAAATTAAAACCCAGTATTACAGACTGAATTAGCAAGGAGAGTGATGTCAAAAAAACAGGAAACATTGTAAGGCCAGCACTACAAATACTCTTTAAAAATATAAAACACTTATGATTAAATATTACATTGCAAAGGAAACATGAGTATGTGTAATATAAATGAATATGGCAAACTGAAAATAACTTGCAAGATAATACTAAAGTCATATATTTGTTTTTAAATCCTCCCAAATTTTAATATCTTCTTAATTAAATGTTGAATAAAAAATAAAAGAGATTTCTGTTAAACATGGGAATTTGAACATATGTTTTAATCTTCATTTCCTTCCCACACTCCACTAAAACGACACTAGAGATGTGAAAAAGACACAGATCTACAAAGAATATGGGAAGAGAGAATTTCGTGACAGCATAACATTTTTAGTATCTATAAAGCCAAAGATGATGATGAATTTAAAAGGGGGGAAACGGAACACACCAGCAATAGAGCAATAAGAAATAAGCTTATTGGTAAGAACATTGAAAACATCTTTTACCTCTGAAGGAGGTGGTAAGGATTAAGATGAAACAGATATATATTAGAAAGCAGCTTCTGAGTCAAAAGGCACCAACTGTTTTACCCAGATCTGCCTATACCCACCTGCCCAGAGAACTTTCCCTCCCCCTCCACCCACTACCTCCCCCACCAACTACCTCTTCCCTTACTCTTTGGAGAGAGCCAAGCAGAGGTTCCTTGTATTATGAACAATGACGCCAGAAAGGACACACTCAAAATAAAACATTTAAATGATGGTTGATATATAAATAATAGATGTCCCTTTTCTCCACCAATAGTCAGGTTAGACCCTTTGGTGGAAAATCTTCAGATGATAGTTCTACAAGAAAAAAATCTAGAAACTGATGGTAGCAAAACATCCAGTCAACTCATGGCAGAATAAAGCTCATCAGAGTTCCCAGTCAGCCTTTTAGTATATCAAACTTAAGCATGAGGAAACACTCAGTGGCACAAGACATTTGAGAAAGAGTTTTTATCGAAACAGAGATAGACCCACAGTAGAAGAAACTGGGAGAGATGAGACACCACAGAGACAGAAAAATTTCTCTAAATAAATATCCCAGAGAAATAATGGAATAAAAGAAAAGGTACTATTTTTAACAGATCATTAATAATATAAGAAGAGCTCTTGAAATTAAAAGTATGATATCAGGAGTTTAAAACATGACAGATTGAAGGACAAAGGAAAGACAGTCATATAGTAAGTTAAAAAAATTAAAAGACAACAACAGGTCAGAATATCTTGCATTTAGCCAATAGACTTTCTAGACAAAAAGAATAGAGAAAATATGGAACAAAATTTTGTCAAAGAAAAAAAAAATCTAAGAAAGCTAAGACATGAGCTTTCAAGTGCCCAGCAACTTCTTAATACAACAAAGAAAATTTAAAAAAAAAATAACAAAATCATGAACTTTCAAAGTACTGCAAGAGCAAAGGTCTTAGAGCTTCTCAAGTCAGAAACAAAAACGTATCCTATACATGAAGCCAAGAATCAAAATGGCATCCTACTTTACAATTCTAATGGTAAAATAATGTTTTAAAAGTCCTAAGGGAGAATGACTTTCAATATTGAACTATATGCCCAGATTATCCATCAAGATCAGAATAGACCAAAAATATTTCATACATGGAAGATCTCAGAAAAAAATACAAAGTATCTCCTACAATTCCTTTCTCTGGGACTGATGATGATGGTAAACCAAGAAAGAGGAAGAAGAAGAAAGGAGCGAGGAAACTGGTCTCCAGTACAGGACAGTGGAAAGGGATTTCTACAGTGGTGAGAAAAATACTAAAGAAACAGCAGTGCTGCAGGGCCTGAGAGCATCAAGTCCAATCACCCGGAAAGGACAGCATCTATGCTTTTTAATACATTTAAGAAACCATTAGTGCATTGGAATGCATGAGGGGGTTTATAAGTCTAGCAAAAAGTTTGGGGTTAAGCTGGTCAAGAAACTAGTAAGGGAAATAAAGCTAGACAATGATTACCCCAAGAAAAACAAAATTTATGTAGAAAACAAAACCAAATCAGAGAACACTACAAGAAGTTTATCTATGAACAAAGTCTCTACAGTTACAAAAATATAAACCCTGAAGAGTAGTAAGTTTATATTTGGAAAATAAAAAATAAAAGAGAGAGAAGTATTCTGATGGGGAGGAAGACGAAGCATATACATTATAGAACTAAACCCTTGGCTTCGGAGTTGATCTTATTTAAAATTGAAAAAAAAAAAAAAAGTAGGTGAGAACGTCCTGTTTAGAAATATGTGAGCAAATGCTACAAGAAACAACTTGAAGAATTTAAAGTAGAAATGAATAGTAAGAACAAAGAAGAGTCTGGAAGGTGATTGCAATTTTTTTAAATCTTAACTTTTAAAATCTATTAGCATGTATAATATAGAAAATGAAGAAAAAGTCAAAAATAATTAT